CTCCTTCTCCCCTGTGTCTCATGCATGTATGGGCGTGTGTGAGTTCTTCTGTGTGTGAGTGGCAAACAAATTGTCAGACAACCAAGTTCATAACAACTGTCATAGTCTGGCTTCCAACCTCTACAACAAAGTAGACTTCAAAAAAAAAAAAAAAAAAAACGAAAAAAAAGGAAAGGCTATTACGTCACGTCTCAACGCATTCATCCACTTGCGGACAAGATTCACACCATTCAAGATTAGCTTGAGCCTTCCTTGTCAGTGATGTCAGTAGTGATTTGTCAGGGTACTGCCAGCACTCCATCCATTACGATGCCAAGGTTGCCACACCCCTGAAGCAGCTTCAATGCAGGGACCACCCTGCTAATTTTGGAGAGGAGCACCTTCAAACCCACCTTGCCCACACAGGTCACTACAGACATCCAGTTACGTACAACTGCTGCCAATGCTTGAGGACTGCAAGGAAAGCCAAAAGCTCCTTCGCTGCATCATAGATCGAATGGATACCGGGGACCTTCGTGCTGCAGGATTTTAGGGGATGGAAGGCCTCGCCGTTGAGCTGCCTGAATACGGAAGCAGTGCTCGGGCAGCACAACGCCGAGGCCTTCCATCCCCTAAAATCCTGCAGCATGAAGATCCCCTGTATGCATTCGATCTATGATACAACAAAGGAGCTTTTGGCTTTCATCGAAGTCCTCAAGCGTTGGCAGCACTTCCTCCTTGAGCGTCGGAAGTTCGTATGGGTCACTGATAAAAAGCCTGCTCGTCTTCTACAAGACGCAAGACGCAGTCATGCCTATACATCAATCGGTTCAACTTTGGCACACAACACACACCCAAAAAGACAAAAGGCTCACCGCTGCCTTGCCTCAACACCCCGACCTTCGCATTGCTATACATCATATGTTTGCATTTGATGAGGATCAGCAGCGACACTTTGTGCAAAACTACCAGTTCAACCCCAATGTTCGCGATCTTTACGAGAAGCTTTCGTCTTCATCATCTTCGATTTTGTGTCATTGCATCCCGAATGGATTTTTACTTCTTCATTCCCGTGGACAGGCCCCAAATGGGTTTATACTTCTTCATTCGCCCAGACAGAACTTATTTTCTATTTTGCATACCTTGTGGCTGAGTGCTACAAGTGACGCTACTTGGAGGCAACCACTACTTGAAGTTTGCCAGAGACATAGGAGTCAATCGCACCATGGCTTGACTTCGAATTGTTCACAACGATTTTCACTGGTCAGGCTTACCTTCTTCCGCCGAATACAACGTACAATCATTATAGATGTATTTGAGGCATCTTTCAGTCTACATACAACTATAATGACCGTACGTTGTATTTGGGGGAAGAAGGTACAGCTATAATGACCGTACGTTGTATTCCGGGGAAGAAGGTAGCGACAGATATCATATGACATTGTGTATCCTGCAGAGTTTGGAAGCGGTGCAAACCATGCAACCATGATCCTTTTAGTGAGTGGTAATCTCTACCAATTCAGCTTCAACACTGCACTTTGGTTTCTATGAATGTTACAAGATTGTTTCCGCATGATCAGTTTGGTCATGGAAGCATTTTGACCATTGTTGACATTTGACCAAGTTCGCACATTTTCTTCCCTGCAAGTAGCATGCCAGTGCCCACGGGCTGTCAGATACCTTTCATGGGGGTTGGATATGTCACAAGGGGTGTCCCGAGGATAGAGTTAGTGATCGTCGCCACGGTCGGTTCATGTTCAAATTTTCGACCTCTTCTTAACCGTTCGAGTTTCACTCTTCAACCGAGTGTCACTCGTTATCCTCATACGATGGCTAGACAGAGTGTGTGCATATAAAAAAAAATTCCCACCCTTTTGTGCCCGCTCCGGAAGGATTTGATTCAGCGACTTTCGGATGTCACATGGCATACAACACCCCATCTGACCATCGACATAGCTTCATTCGAGGTGGAACACAGCTGGTCAGGTCCTTATGGCTCAGATTCCCTGATCCCTGCTTCAGTTGTGTAAGAGTCCCCGACACTCATGCACATCAGCATAGGATGCACGATGCACAAACGAATGCAGGGGCACGCCAACCAGCATCAGTTACCTCACCCATCTCATGAGGATGACTTCGTATGGGTATCCATTGAAGAGTTCAGCTTGGAGCAAGACATCTCACACACAAGCTTCTCCCAAAGTAGCGAGGAACTCTGTCGATTTTCTTTGCAAACGGAAATCAGCCAGATGGAGCGACCTTTGTACCAACGTGCCAACTCACTTGAGTACATCCAGCCTTTCATGTGTCCAAGCTCGCTCCTTTCATTTCAGCACTTCTTCCCTGGACAACAATCACAGGACCCTCTTTACATCGACGGACACATCATCGGTCACAAAAGTATGGGCACAAGCCAACAAAATGCAAAGTGCACTTTCCTACTGTCACCCTCCCCTCTTCCCCCGAACAGAACGCACCCCGATCATGACTGTACCGGATCGGGAAAAAAACTTGCAAACAGCCACAATCAGGGTGCGTTGTGGTCGGGGGCAGACAGTGGTACTGATAGTAGGCTGAGCCTTGCAGAGCTCGAGGATACAAAACCTGATGTCAATGGAAACAATGAGCATACACGAGTTGTTCATGGAGCCTTGCAAGCTCAACCCTCTCCCGCCCCCGAAGTGTAGGTTTCCTCCTTCAGATCGTGAACTTCGCCCTTGTGGGGGAGCTCGACTTCTCAAACCACCAATTTGGCTGAGTCCATTTGTAAGAAGCTACCTTTCGAGGCCGCAGAGCCTCCAACTGGGCATTTCCTTAGTGCCTCCGCAGGCCACTACCAGCCCAGGCCCAAAGTGGTATGCTCTTACCGGCACACCGATAAGAGCCTGACTTTGCTTTGAGCAAACTGGAGGTTGAAGGAGGGCGGGTGTGGCATACTGCGTAGCCAGCCACACGGGCCTGTAGAGCCCGTCCCGCATTTCCAGCCTAAAAGCCTAGAAATAAGGGCTTACAGGCCCCTGTCGTTTCAGCCTGAAAGACTGAAAAACGAGGGCCTGCAGGCCCTACGTCGTTTCAGCCTAAAACAGAGCTTTTCAGCCCTGAGGCTTTTCAGCCTGAAACGGAGGGCCACTTTCGGGCCCTCATAAGATCGACCTACCCTAAGACTCAGGCACAAAAACAGGGTTTCGGGAACAGGCTATTTCTGGCCTGTTCCCCACGACAGCCTCAAGCAGGAGCTGCAGCGGCAGCCCCTGACTCCCTTCGGCATTGGCAAGARCAGCCTCCTGGACTGCCTCGCCCTGCAGTCAGGAGGCACCCGAGTAGTACATAGGAAGTTCCCATGCACTTCACGGGTAGGTAGTTGGACAGTAGGCACGAGTAGTCTTCAGGATTCGGCCACAGCACTCAGGAGGAGCGCTGCAGGGAGTAACTTAGCGCTAGCAGTAGTCTTCAGCGCTGGGCGCTAGTAGCCATAGCAGTAGTCTTCAGCGTTGGGCGCTAGTAGGTGGTAGTAGTAGAGTTGGGAGAGATGACTGGCGGAGGCCAGTGGGACTTACCTATGGCGCCATAGCTCCAGCTCCATCTTCGAGGTACCTGCATCAAGGCGCCAACTTCACAGGTTAGTACCGGACTGAGAGAAAGAGAGAGAGAGAGTTCTTCTTCTTCCTCTTGTAAGTCCACCATCTCTTCTTCCCCTCTCGCCACCTCACTTCTCAGTATCAGCGGACTACTACAGAGAGAGAGTTGTGACTTGAGACTTGACGGCAGTGGATCCAGACACGACATTGGGATTCAGACATTTGACGAGGGACTATTTGGGCCTGTGCCGAAGACTTGGTGTTGATGACATTCCCATCTTCCCCTCTTCTTCATCTAACCCCCCTCTTCTTCGTCTGTGTATGGTTCGGGGCTGGCGCCTTCTTCCTGTGTGAGCGCCAGACCCCTTCACACCATGGAGATGATGATGATGATGTATGTTCTGGGCTGCATTGCAATATTGATTGTTCAGATCATTGGTATCTAAGTCTTCCGCTACGCTATCTTGTACTTTGTATTGAGAGGTCGGTTCTTGTTCTGGTCTGCAGCGTTACAATATGCAACAGTTTGGTATCAGAGCGGACCTCTCATTCAGAGGACCCGCTCAATCACGTAGCCAGCTTGCTTGATCTATTGATTACTCACTAGTAAATCAAGTAGGACTTCGTCAAATCTCTGAAATTTTTTTTCTTTTCTTTCGCAACAACTATCTGAAAATTTCTGATATTCGCATTTCATTTTACCTGAAAATTTCTGATATCACTATTTCGTTTTCACGTAACAAATATCTGAAAATTTCTGATAAATCGCATTTCGTTTTGTCTGAAAATTCCTGATAGTAGCATTTCGTTTCTCTGATATTTCGCATACATAGCTGAAAATTTATGATGTTAGTATTTTGTTTTCTAGGCATATTGGGATAACGATAGAAGTGGTCATATTCTCGGAAGCCGGAATTATTCTTTTCTAAAAATCGAATTTCCATTCTATCTCGCAATTTTTTTTTTGAAAACCGAAATCTTGCGAAGCCTACCGACATTTCGTTAGGCATATTCAGAGGTTGCCATATTCTCAGAAACTGAATTTAGTTCTTTTTCTGAAAATCACATCTCTACTCTATTTCGCAATTTTTTTTTTCTTTCAAGATCGCATTTTGTGAAAGCCGAAACTTTGCGGAACCTAGCCTAGATCTCGTTCATAGTACTCTTCTGACATGTCTCACTCATAACAGATCGACAGATGTACAAAAAAAAAAAAAAAAAGGAAGTAGTCCTCTTTTATTTTTATTTTTTAGTTTATCTGTTGATTAGGGCCAGGAGGAAAGTATTGTTGGGTTGGTTCCCTACCTGCGTTTTTCCCTCCCCACCCACCCTTTGCATGCAATTCCGAGTTGGTACAGTGCCACGTCAGCAGTGCCACATCAACAGTGCCACGTCAGCAACAATGCCACGTCAGTTGTGCCACGTCAGCAGTGCCACGCCGGTCACAGTGACACGTCAGCAGTGCCACGTCGGTCACAGTGCCACGTCAGCAACAGTGCCCCGCCACCATGACGGGCGCAATTTGGGCATGCCAGGCCAACAAGCCAACGAGTCTACTGCTGACTACAAACAGCGGTTCCAGACTCAGCTCGCACTGATCGAGGCTGAGGAACAGCGCCAGCTGGCAGCCGAGGCTGCCCGCCTACAAGCTGAAGCAGCGGCAACAGCTGAGAAGTAGCGGCTTCAGGTCGAAGCAGATGCAGATACCCAGGCACGCCGAAAGGAAGCCCAGGATCTGCTGTAGCAGCATGAAGCCGCCAGCATCGAAAGACTCAAGTATTGGCACTTTGAACCATCTGAAGGGCACGACGACGCGACACCGGAAGAGCAGCACAGGGAATTCATGGCCAAACTCGTGACTTGGTTGGTTTACACTTGTAACCACCTGCAGTCCGAGCTGGCGAATATGCAGCAGGCCATGCGAAACCACAAGGCTCAGCATGAGGATGCAGCACGGGCACTTGATTCCCGTATGCAGGACTTGGAGCAAGTTGCACCAAGACCGGAGGCTGGCGAGTCCAGCAATGCACCCTCTGCCCGCCAACTGGAGCAACGCGTCGACCACGTCGTCGCAATGCTCGGCGACATCAGCACCTTCGTTGCGCCAACCACCATCAGCAAACAGATGGATACATTGAAGACTGAGGTTCAACAACTGCAGCTGCCTAACAAGGATGGCAATAGCACAACGCATTATAAGATGCCGACATTCCAAATTGAGAAGTTCGATGACTACACGCATCAAGACCCGGTCCTCTGGTGGGAAGGCTTTTCGATGCAACTGCGGATTCTGTCCGTCGCCAAGCACGCGTACATCGGCGCCCTGTTTCTCAACTCAAAGGGCGGATGCCAGACCTGGTTAAGCCACCTGGCATCCACCCACGGCGTCGACGTCGCAGATCTGAAAGACAAGATCTCATGGGAAGAGTTAACACGGCTATGGAAGAAGCGGTTCATCGTGGACGACGCACCTGCACTCGCCATCAACCGTCTCTTCGACATGACACAAGGCAACACAGCAACACGTGACTGGCTCACGAAATGGTAGAAGATCGCGGCAATGCCCGGTCTCGACTTGCCATTTTCGCATTTGCACCGCGAGTTCTACAACAGGTCATGTGTTGCATTGAGCCTTGCACTTGGTGATCACGAGCAATATGCAACCTTCGCTGAAATCATTGACAAGGCGAGGGAGATCATCAAGACCAACAGGGCGGCTGCACACGAGAAGTCAACATGGCAGCCAACCTATGTGGAGAAGGTGAGAACTGGTCCGCGACCGCAGCATGTCGCTGCAGTCCAATCGGACAACATTGTGGAAGACCCGGCAGCCACCCAAGCGTCACGTGAGGGAGATCAGGTGGCTGCTGTCCAGCCGCGAAGCAACAACAAATCCCGAGGAAACAAGAATGCGAAAACCGCATTGCCGGCCGGAAACGGACAGCCAACACCATGGGTCAAGTTTAACTTGACCGAGGCCGAGTACAAGTACCGCGGCCGTTACGGCTGCTGCTATTGGTGCAACAACACCAAGCACAAGACCTCCCAATGCCCTGATCAAGGCAAGGAGGATGTTCGGTCTCGTATTAACTCGGAAAACTGAGTCGTGCAGGAGGTGAGGTGACTCCACCTCTCACTCCGCCAGATTCGGCCGCCTTGCTAGCGGCCTCCTACACATCTGGGGAGGATGCGCATGTCGCAAGTCCTCGGTTCACTTACGAGGATTTCATCCCCGGGGTTTTATCCCCATCGGCAACCGATTCGGCAGCTTCGCCGTCATCTACCGCCGGGGATTCAACGTCATGGTCAAGACTTGAAGAGCTCGACCCGTTGACTTTTGCAAACGTCCAATTGATGCCCCTTCCCCGGTCCGGTCGATTGTCGAAACCGCATTGCAACGTGCTCATGGCACAATTGCGGAATTACTTGCACACTGCAGTACCAACTCCGTTAATGGACACCGGAGTAGAGGTTGTCGACCTTCACGCCTACATTGTGAAGATCGACCGCGAGTTCAAGACACAACGGTACGACGATATCGGCGCACCATTGTTATATATACGCATTCAGATCGGAGAGGCGACCTGCAGCGCTTTGATTGATTGCGGAGCATCTCGCAACTACATGAGCGAGGACTTTATGGTACGCGCCGGCCTTGGCCCACGCGTCCGGAGAAAGTCCCAACCGACGCAAGTCACATTGGCGGACGGTCACACGCACAAGTCAATGGACCGGTGCATTGATGACGTCCCCGCGTACTTTGTCCCGCACGCGAGCGAGGCGGTGTCCTTCGATATTTTGGACACCGAATTCGACATGATCTTGGGCATGTCATGGCTGCGAAGCGAGGATCACCTGGTGAACTTCTACCGCCGCACCGTTCACGTTCGTGATCGGAACAGAGTAATAGTCCCATGCACGGTAGCTCCTCCTCACCCTTCAATCAACTGTCACGTGGTGTCCGCCGCAAGCATGCGAGCTTCCATCATCAGAGACGACATCAAGGAGATGGGGGTGTGTTTTCTCCACGCCCTCCCGCCCCATGACGCTTCATCGACGGACTCATCTTCGGACCCACGCATCACCGAGCTTCTCGACGCCTACGGCGACGTGTTCGAAGGCCCGCACAGAGTAGTACCGGATCGGCCCATCCGCCACGAGATCATCCCCGAGGACAGGGTCGTACCTCCGCGCGGTTGCATCTACCAAATGAGCGAGGAAGAGTTAAGTGTGCTTCAAGCACAACTCGACGACCTTCTGGAGAAAGGCTGGATTCGGCCTAGCTCATCGCCATATGGTGCTCCTGTTCTCTTCGTCCGGAAGAAGAACAAGGATTTGCAGTTGTGCATCGATTATCGCAAGCTCAACGCGCAAACGATCAGAAACGCCGACCCTCTACCACGCATCGACGACCTTCTCGAACGATTGGGCGGCGCCAAGTTCTTCTCCAAGCTGGACCTCAAGTCGGGATATCACCAACTTGAGATTCGGAAGGAGGACCGCTACAAGACCGCGTTTAAGTCGCGATATGGACATTTCGAATGGCTGGTTATGCCATTTGGCCTTACGAATGCCCCGACCACTTTCCAAGCGGCTATGACAACGGAGTTCCGACACATGCTGGATCGATTCGTACTTATCTACCTCGACGACATCCTGGTGTACAGTCGGAGTTTGGACGAGCATGTGGAACACCTACGCACCATTTTGGAGCGGCTACGACAAGCCAAGTACAAAGCCAACCGCGACAAATGCGAATTCGCGCGGCAGGAGAGTACTTGGGACATTATGTGACGCCTCAAGGCATCCGTCCGCTTGCGGACAAGATCGAGGCCCTCCGCGTATGGCCTGAGCCCGCCAACACCACGGACGTTCGTTCATTCATGGGGTTGGCGGGCTACTATCAGCGATTCATCACTGGATACTCAAGGATTGCTGCACCTATGACGAGATTACAATCGCCAAAGGTGCCATTCGTATTTGATGACGACGCACGCCGGTCATTCCAAGCACTTAAGACGGCCATGCTCATGGCACCCGTCCTTAGCATCTATGAACCCACCCTGCCTACGAGAGTGACAACTGACCCTTCTGGCTATGGCATTGGGGCAGTCTTGGAACAACACGACGGCGACGACTGACACCCTGTGGAGTATTTCAGCCACAAAGTGCCTCCCATCAACTCGCTTGATGATGCAAGGAAGAAGGAGCTGCTCGCGTTCGTGATGGCTCTCAAGCGATGGTGGAAGTTCCTCCTTGGGCGTCGTAGGTTCACATGGGTTATGAACAACAACCCATTGACTTACTACAAGACGCAGGATACGGTGAGCAGCACGATCGGACGATGGCTGTACTTCATCGACCAATTTGACTTCACACCAAAACATCTTCCCGGCCTCTCCAATCGCGCAGCAGATGCATTCTCGCGAAGACCCGATCTTTGCGCTATGACACATCATGCCTTCGCATTCTACGAGGAACTTCAGCGACACTTCATCCGGGGATATGAGTCGGATCCGGACTTTGCCACGTTGTATGCGCAGCTATCTTCGGATCACCCGCCGGCCAGCCACTATCGCATTGCCGACGGGTACTTGCTCCTCCACTCGAGAGGCAAGGACTTATTGTGTGTCCCACGAGACCGTCGTCTTCGGACTCGCCTTCTCGATGAGTATCATGACTCGCGACTCGCCGGCCATTTCGGAGTCAACCGCACCATTGCACGGCTTCGACAACGATTCCGATGGCCCGACCTCATTACCGATGTCACTCGGTATTGCGACTCTTGCGAAGTTTGCCGATGAAGCAAGCCCCGCGATCGCAACCCCTACGGCGAGTTGCGCCTGATGCCTATCCCACGGGAACCCGACCTCTCCATTGCCATGTATGTCACCGGACCATTTCCTCACGATCACCTCGAGCACGACGACATTCTCACGGTTGTGGACCATTTGAGTAAGTATGCGCGTTTTCTCCCTTGCAAGTACTACTCCACGGCTCCCGAGTTGGCACGCCTCTTGCACACCGGTTGGATTTGTGGCCACGGTGTACCGGAAGACATAGTCAGCGACCGCGACACTCGCTTCATGTCGGCATTTTGGACTGCTCTCATGCAGGAGTCCGGCAGGAAGATGAAACCGAGTTCGGCTCGACATCCACAGACGGACGGGCAAACAGAGCGGGCACATCAAACCGCTTAAATGATGCTTCGTACGCTCATCCGTCCGGACCAGAAAGATTGGGTTGACCGCCTCCCTGACATCGAGTTCGCCTACAACACTTTGGTGCACCCGACGATCGGCGTGACTCCATTCGAGTTGCACCACGGTGGACGGAAAGGCCGTATCCTCGCCGACCTTCTCCCACGACCAGCCGACATCGACGTCGCTTGCTCTCCCGCTTCCGTCCGGAAGTACAGGGAATTGCTGGCTCAAGCCCGCGCGAACATGCAAAAGGCTCAAGTCCGCATGCAACAGCAAGCCAACAGGCGTCGCGTGCCATGTTCCATCCGCGCCAGTGATCTGGTTTGGGTCTCCGCGGAAGAGTTTGCACTGGAACAGGATGTTTCACGCAAACTGCTTCCCATGGCCCGTAACATCAGCCGTGGGCGATGAGCCCGATGGCCCTTCATTTGTGATCAACATCCCGGCGCATCTGACGGTCCATCCAGACTTTCACGCCTCGAAGCTGGCAACATATACACCAGCTAAGAGCGACGACTTCCCAGGCCGACGATCGCAGGACCCTCCATCTATGGATGGTCATCAGGAGTTTGACCGCGTCATCACGGATCGCAAGTACGGCAACAAGCCTCGACAGTACAAAGTTACATTCAGAGCATGCGATCCCGACGACACTCGGTGGATTTCAGGAACAGATTTGAAAGCATCCGCACCGCTGATCTATGCTCACTACGAGCGACAAAGGTTAGCTCAGGGACCTTCACGACCTGCCCCTCCCACCCGGACTGTGGTCCCTCCCTCAGACAGACAGCTTCGCCCTCGCAGGCAAGCTCGGTCTTTCAAGGAGGTGGGGGGGTGGCATATTGCGTAGCCACACGAGCCTGCAGGGCCCGTCCCGCATTTCCAGCCTAAAAGCCTAGAAATAAGGGCTCATAGGCCCCTGTCGTTTCAGCCTGAAAGACTGAAAAACGAGGGCATGCAGACCCTATGTCGTTTCAGCCTAAAACAGGGCTTTTCAACCTGAAACGGAGGGCCACTTTCGAGCCCTCAAAGATCAACCTACCCTAAGACTCAGGCACAAAAACAGGGTTTCAGGAACAGGCTATTTCTGGCCTGTTCCCCACGACAGCCTCAAGCAGGAGCTGCAGCGGCAGCCCCTGACTCCCTTTGACATTGGCAAGAGCAGCCTCCTGGACTGCCTCGCCCTGCAGTCAAGAGGCACCCGAGTAGTACACAGGAAGTTCCCGTGCACTTCACGGGTAGGTAGTTGGACAGTAGGCACGAGTAGTCTTCAGGATTCGGCCGCAGCACTCAGGAGGAGCGCTGCAGAGAGTAGCTTAGCACTAGCAGTAGTCTTCAGCGCTGGGCGCTAGTAGCCATAGCAGTAGTCTTCAGCGCTGGGCGCTAGTAGGTGGTAGTCGTAGAGTTGGGAGAGATGACTGGCGGAGGCCAGTGGGACTTACCTGTGGCGCCATAGCTCCAGCTCCATCTTCGAGGTACCTGCATCAAGGCGCCAACTTCACAGGTTAGTACCGGAGAGAGAGAGAGAGAGAGAGAGAGAG